CTTTGAAATGATGACGTCAATCGTGCGTCTGTCCTCTAATAGATCATAGGCGAGAACCAATCAAAATGCGAGAATAACTTGGGTTATTATATAAAAATAAATAGATAATTTGGTTTCATCAACTGGGTTGATAATGTGAATTGACGACCGTAAAGAGATTCAAAAGCTGACGTTTCAAGTGTTAGCCCTTTGTCGGAGTGAATCAGATTCGCTCCGACGAAGGGCTAATGCTTGAAACATCAGCTTTCGAATCTCTTTATGGTGGCCAATTCACATTATCAACCAAGCTGATAAAACCAAATTATCTTGTTATACTCCCCACCGACGTAGCACCACAGTTTCTTTAGAAACTTACCCCCTCTATTTAGCAGTAAATAAATGCTAACTGTAAGCAAACAGTAGTAAATAAATGCTAACTGCAAGCTAGACACAGTATTTAAATGGTAACCAGAAGCAAACAGCAATAAATAAAAGCAAACTGCAGTGAGGCTATATAGGTGGCCTACCATGAATAACATGCCCATTTTGCAGTTGTGTGCTCAGTGGCCTGGCCCAGGAATGAAAGCGAGGCTGGAGGTGGCCTTGCCATGATACAGACCTCTCTGCTTTTGTCAGGTAAATGTAAACTGGTTAGCATTAGAACAACTTGATTTACATAACAAAAGCAGTGGGGTCTGTATAAAAACAAGGTCACCTCTAGCCTTGCTGCCATGCAAAGGCCAGGTCACTGAGCAGACAATTGTAAAATGGCCTATTGGTGCCCTGTGTGCTAATTAAAATTAAACCATTGATTGGCTGATTGAATGATCGATTAATCAGTCAGTCGATCTGTCATTCAATCAAACAAAATGTCTACTAAATGGACACACCTGTGATAGATAGACACTTAAAACATGGTGGGTTAACCGTAAAGTTATTAGCATAATTTTAGTCAATCAGTTAGTTCACAAAGTAAGGCTCGTCAGTGCACCGTTGCTTATTTTGTATTTTTTAACTTGTTTTTCTGAAGTGGTCAGGCTCGACTTGTTCGAGCTACCACTGAGGGAGGTAGTGGAATCCGTATCATTCATGGAATATCATCAAGTGATAGTGACGAAGATGAGGATGATGATGTTGATTTTGCATTCCGTGGCAGTAAAGTTGCAAGTCCTCCAGGTAGGATCAATAGAAAGCCTGAATGTTAGCCACTGCCTAATTCTCCTTGAGGAGGGAGAGGGGAATAATCTTTTGACTGGCTTGATGGCTTGATGGCTTGATGGCATTGTGCTGCTTGGCACACATACATGTCAACTCTTTCAAGAACAATGCAAATGCAGGAAATTGCAAAAGTTTATACCGTGCTCAGTTCTTTTCAGCAGACAATTCCAGACTCACCTTGCTAGACCTTGCACATTGCCACAATCCTGATGGAATCCCATCAGATATAATAGCACCCTAATTAAGTTAAGATCCTGTAAGATCACATGATGGATCCAGTGTAAGATCCTGTAGAATCCTGTGAGATCGCAAATGATCCTTGTATGTTCCTTATAGGATTTTCTATATTATCCTGTACATTCTTCAGGATAAAGCAGTGAAATTACATTTTGTAATAATTATTCTTAATCCAAAACACAAGTATATCACTCAATGATAACGAGTGTTATTGTAATATATTCAATATTATTATTATCAGTTAGGGCTTCCACAGCCTAGACATTTAGTTGTTGACAACTATTTCTTATTGGTAGCTAAATTTTATTGACAACTAAAAACATAGCATGTGAGATGAGTTTTCGACAACTAAATGATAAGTTTTTAGTTATCGACAACTAAGCAGTTTCCCTTTTTGAAAAGGGAAACTGCTTTTAATTAGTTTTAGACAACTGTTACAGCATTTCTGACCATTTTTCTTGTGTTTGGGAATCATCTGTTTACCTGTAGTTGTCAACAGCTAATGAAACTGCGTTGGACAGAGGTTAGAGCATGCGTATTGCGTTTTGAGCCTGTGTAGTGAATGTTAGTTCCCAAGGTCTCGCTGACCTGACATAGACATCGACAACTAACACTCCAGTGTGTGGAATGTAAGCACCAGAATCAATATTAGTGGTCAATAACATCAATAACATTTAAGCCTGGTGTTCATGTGTCGGGAAAATCCCAGACAGTCTGGGATTGTACTGTTTCCCGACCGTCCCAGATTTTGACTAATGAAAACTCAAAATCGTAGATATCCCCGATCATCTGGGATGAACGGGGACAAATCTGGAGAATCGGGAGCATTTCTATTTTCCCGACCTGTCCCAAATTTCTGCGACGGTCGGCCATCATTCCCGACAAATGAAAACTCAAATTTGTACCGTCATGGACATCGGTGTCCATTGGTGATGGATTTCACTCATTACCAATCCCCTCAATTGCTGGGCTCCAGTCCCCCTGTCACATTTGTGTTCAAGTTTCGATTTTTGGCGCACTTTCCATTTCCCGCCAAATTCATAATCGGGAAAATCTTGGACAGACCTCTGGTGAATATCCGATATATCGGCAAAATCTGGGATGGTCGGCAAAAAGTAAAATCCCTGATCGTCTGGGATTTTCCTGACATATGAAAACCAGGCTTTAGTTGTCGATAACAAATAGTTGTCATCAACTAAATGTCTCGTCTGTGGAGGCCCCTGGAAAATGACCTCATCTTTTCTCTCTCTCTTCTTGTGTTTCCAGTTGATCCGAACCCCAATACATTTACTGTTGATGTGAGTATAATGGCTCTGAGCTTTGATAACTTTTGCTTTTTGCACAGTTTTGGGTGCAGTCCCTTAATCTGTGATGTTCTTTAATCTAATCTGTACTTCCTTTCTCTTAAATCTGCATGTGTAGCAAAGTGTGTTTAAACAGGATACCCTATTATCAAGTGGCCAAACATTAGATACCTACCTGCATAATCAGAACATTTGCTCAAGACTTCACATGGTAATTGTCAAATATATTGTAAACAGACGGAAGTGAGTTATTTTGTGTTAAAATTAATTCTAAATTGCTCCTAGGGGGTTACTTGAAAATCATTTGGTTCATTTAGCCTCTAGGCTCTACTAAACAATAATTTCCTTATTATTTTATTTAATCAACTTGTAATGTGTGTGACACTTCTCCTGAAATTGTGATGGGGAAAAAGAGAGGCAATAGTATGGCCATAAATGAAGCATTAATTAATTAACATGTACATTTACTTCTTTTGTTTGTGGAAAATGCATTGTGTTCTTCACTAGAAGTTCTGTATTGAACAATCTGGGTTTTTATCTCTGGCCACAGCATTGCAATGTGTTATTGTGCACAATACTTTGAACACTCTTATGATGGCTCTCTCTGGACACTACGGAGTTTAAAACAATAGACAGTGATGAACTGTATGGTTACCTCAGGAGGTAGCTATTCATACACTGACTCGGAAAATCTTGCCTCCAGGATATTACAAGGAATTGTGGTTCCTTGCTAATTTTAGTTGTCGAGAAAGTGAAAGGACCATTTGAGATCACTTTCATGACAATGTTTTTGTACAAATCAAATTTTAGCCATTTACTTTCTGTGAATTATTTTATAGAGGGAAAGTTCCCTTTGTCATCGTCCAAACTTCACTCAAGGTGATAGAGCTGCTGCTTGTGCAAAGTAAGTGAAAACTATTACCAAGAACAGTACCACAGGTCTGCGATGCATGCAAAGTAGTACAACTGACATGGTCCTCAGATACAGCATACCCGATGCACACACCCTGGGCACTCAGTGAATGCCTTGATTGTTATGTAATAGTACATTTAACAGTTAAACCAGGTCAAGGATGAAGAAATCTTTGTATATTCTCTGTTTCAAACTTTGGTATACGCTTGTCAAATGAAGTATTCAATATTCAAATCAAGATTTGATCACAAACGTGTCTGAGTTGTATGAGGTTGCAGTTAATAATGGCTTTACATGCCAAATATGGAAGAATTTAAGAAGTTTCCCTAATTTCCACAATTTAAATCTCTTAGTGAAATACTGACCTCGGTGAGTGATTTCTTTTGGTTTTGGACAGTCATAATGAAGTACTCTTAATTCTCCTCAGTATTATTTTTTTTCTTGATTAAATTTGTTCTTTACTGTTTTTGTAGTTACATCCCCAACAAGATGGAAACAAAAGCCCAATACCATAACAAATTATTTTGTGGCAGCTATTCTAGAGATGGCACTGTATTTCTTTCAGCCTGTCAAGGTTTGTGTTCATAAACAGGGATAAAACACTTTTTTCCTGATTAAGGTATCCCCCTCTATTGTTCTTTTCTTGTGATATCATTTAATATCTGGTCAGTGTAAAATGAAGACTGCAGACTGTGGACTGGGAATGAGATGCAGACTGAGGGTGAAATACAGATTGCAGAACAGGGGCAAAATGCAGACTTTGTCTTTGTCTTAGTTTCTTTTTTCTTTGTCAAACTTTACCTTGTCTTGACAACTTATGTATCCTCCTCTGTTATTACCTCCTCAGGAATTTCATTAAATTAGCTCCCTTATCAAAATGTCTTCCTCCTTTCTCCTCTTCTAGAAGCCTTCCGTAAAAGATTCCAAGCTATCCCAGACCTTAGAATCAGTGTTTAAGCATGCATCATCACTTGCCACATTTTTGTCTTTTTCAAAACTATTTTCAATTGACAGATCAGCGTCTCCGGTTGTATGATACAACACTTGGACAGTTCAAAGTGTTCCGTAACATAGTGGCAAGAGATGTGGAATGGAGCATAATTGACACTGACTACAGGTACAGAAGTTAATTTAACATGTGGACAGGTATCTTTTGTTAACAGGTACTACTTTGCACATTTGAATAGAGGCATTTTTGTCAAGGACAGCAAAAGGGTAGCATC